TTTCAGTGATAAATGAGATAATTCATGTAAATATTTTCCAGTAACATGGCATATAGAAAATGTTCAACAAAAGAGCCAAGTAATATTTTTATTCACTCTCCTGTCTTACTGTATCCCTAAAGAAAGGACCATCTGTGTTTATTTTTAACTTACTTGCTTATGGAAATTTAGGACTGTGATTTCATAGGTGGGATTTACTTATTTCACAAACTAACTGATTTGACTTTAAATACTACCTCAAAGACCAGTTTCTTTACAGGCAAAGGTATGCAGTGAAAACCCTTAGGTCTCTCTGTACACTTGAAAATCTAAAGAAATTAGTTTCTTTTGAAATGCTGCCTTTCAAAGCATGACCATATCCCTCCTACCTACAGTTTTGCAAAGGATCATGTTTTTAATTTTACACCACTAAGACAATGATGTCACTATTACAGAATGCCCTTTCCTTTAACAAGAAATATGTCCTGGCTCTTTTTTTCATTCAGCCTCTAACTCAATGGTTATGGGATGGGCCACACTTAATTTGGGCCCCAGAGATGTAAGTTGTTGTCTCACCCAGGAGTGTCCAGAAATTGCAACCAAAAAAACACTTGAAATTACAAAGCCAGAACAAAAGATAACTAGTATAATTATCTTTGAAAAATGGGCAACTTCTTTTGTTTTTTTTTTTTGAGATGGAGTTTCGTTCTTGTCGCCCAGGCTGGAATGCAGTAGTGTGATCTTGGCTCACTGCAACCTCTGCCTCCCGGGTTCAAGCAATTCTTCTGCCTTAGCCTCCTGAGTAGCTGGAATTACGGGTCCCCACCACTACGCCCAGCTAATTTTTGTATTTTTTAGTAGAGACAGGGTTTTGCTATGTTGGCCAGGCTGGTCTTGTTCTCCTGACCTCAGGTGATCCGCCTACCTTGCAGGCTCCCAAAGTGCTGGGATTACAGACATGAGCCACCACGCCCAGCCAAAAAAATGGCAACTTCTAAATGAAAAACATAAATAAGTACTACCTGATTTTTAGTTTCCACCCTGCATATAGGGTACATAATAGAAGGGCTTAGGTGGTGAGGTGGCAGCCATCTTTTTACCTTTTCAAAAGAGCAAAAAAAAAAAAAAAAAAACTATTCATTTCAGAAAATAGGATGTATCACATCTTCTATCTGTCCCCCTTTTATTGTCTGTTAAATAGTTCTTTCAGTATTCCATCTGTTAATTTATACTATTGAAGGATTATAAAGACAAGTAGCATTTGGTAGAATTTGGTTACCTAGACACAAAAATAAGTTTTAATAGTTTTCAGTTTTAAGCTTCAGCAGTCACAAAAGTAATTTCTTTTTTGTCCTGCCTTGATTTGAAAATTCAGTGTATCTGCTGGTTTGTTCAGGTGAACGAATTTTTGTTTGTTTGCTTGTTTATTTTTGAGACAGAGTCTGGCCCTGTCACACAGGCTGGAGTACAGTGGCACAATCTTGGCTCACTGCAACCTCCGCCTCTCAGGTTCAAATGATTCTCCTGTCTCAGCCTCACCAGTAGCTGGGATTACAGGCACCTGCCACCATACCCAGCTAATCTTTCTATTTTTTAGTAGAGTTGGGTTTCACCATGTTGGCCAGGCTGGTCTCAAACTCCTCACTTCATGATCCACGCACCTCGGCCTCCCAAAGTGCTGGGATTACAGACTTGAGCCACCATGCCCAGCCACAAACATATTCTTAAAATATACTGTTTACTTAACACTGATAGTATTTTCTGCCATTTGAGGAACTAGTAATGGAACATAGGGCCTTTCCATGGGTAGTTTTTAGGGAAGATTGGAAAGCAGCATGAAAAATGGAGTATAAGGAAACAGTAATTATTTATATCAAGTAGTGGAAAACTGATGATGTGTAAGGGAGCAGGAGGAGACAAATCTAGAGAAGCAGTGGGCTGCAAGCCTTTTTTAAAAATTTATTATACTTTAAGTTCTGGGGTACATGTGCAGAACATGCAGGTAACAAGGGAGGTGAAAGACCTCTTCAAGCAGAACTACAAACCACTGCTCAAGAAAATAAGAGAGGACACAAACAGATGGAAAAATATTCCATGCTCGTTGTTACAAAGAATCAGTATTGTGAAAATGGCCATACTGCCCATTGACTTTCTTCACAGAACTGGGGGGAAAAAACCTTAAACTTCATATGGACCATAAAAGAACCTGCATAGCCAAGACAATCCTAAGCAAAAAAAAACAAAGCTGGAGGCATCACGCTACCTGACTTCAAACTATACTACAAGTCTACAGTAATCAAAAGAGCATGACACTGGTACCAAAACAGAGATGTAGACCAATGAAACAGAACAGAGACCTCAGAAACAATGTCACAGATCTACAACCATCTGATCTTTGACAAAGCTGACAAAAAAAAGCAATGGGAAAAGGATTCCCTATTTAATACATGATGTTGGGAAAACTGGCTAGCCATGTGCAGAAAGCTGAAACTGGATCCCTTCCTTACACCTTATACAAAAATTAACTTCCAGGTGGATTAAAGCTTTTAACATAAAACCTAACACCATAAAAACCATAGAAGAAAACCTAAACAATACCATTCAGGACATAGGCATGTACAAGCCTTTTTAAATGGCAGAGATTGCAAAAAAAATTATCAACATCATTTTTCATTCAAACAACATGTACTGAACACTGTGTGTGGGCTTCTGTGCTAGGCACTATGAATACAACAAATAATCAAAATGTAGTTTCTAGGTCTGAAGACATTCATTTAGAAGGAGAGGGCAGCATCATAAATGGAGAAGTGTAATGTCGTGTTCTGTAATAGAATTTAATAGCAGAGGCATATAAAAGACACCTTCAGCCTTGCATACTCTTCCTTTCCCTGATCCCTGCTCATCTTTAAGGTTTTACCCTAAGTGTGGCTTCTTCATGAAAGCCTTTCTAATACCATATGTATTGTATTAGTTGGAAGTGATTAATTGTACAGATGACAGACTATGTCTCTGAAGTAGTTACATCTGATCTCAGTTTTGATTTACAAATAGGAAGTTACAAGATAAAGCATCATCATTTTCTTTTACCAAAGGTTGGGACAGGTTGAACATATTTTATCTCTTTATCACTTAACAAATAGTTTACTGAATTAATAAATTATACTGATTTCGTATAGTCCCTGAACATTGCAGGATATTTCATGCCTTTGTAACCCAGGCATTATGCTTAAGCAGTGAGGCTACAGAGGTGAACTAAGAATTGGTGAGACTGCCCGTAAGGGGCTGTTGGGATCTACAATTGAACAGACATTGAACAAAATGTATTATAAGTATAGTGAGTGTTATTACAGGAAGTGGAGGAACATTTAGTGGATATATCATAATCTACTCTGGGATTAAAGAAGGCTGCCCAGAGGAAGTAATGTTTAAACTGAGGCATAACAAATGAGGAGTTAGTTTAAGAATTGGGGGAGAGTTGTTATAGTGACAAGATTTGGGTGGGGATGCAGGCAAACCATATCTTGAATTCCCATATATTGTAGAAGGACCCACCAGGAGGTAATTGAATCATGGGGGCAGGTCTTTTCTACACTGCTTTCATGACAGTGAGTCTCACAAGATCTGATGGTTATTATAAGGGAGAGTGTTCATGCACAAGCTCTTTTTTGCCTGCTGCCATCCAAGTAAGATGTGACTTGCTCCTCCTTGCCTTCCACCATGACTGAGGCTTCCCCAGCCATGTGGACCTGCAAGTCCAATTAAACCTCTTTCTTTTGTAAATTGCCCCGTCTCTGATGTGTAGGTAGGGGGCCTTAGGAAAAAGATTAAATTGAATAATCTTCTTCCTGTAGTGATGAGCCACATAAAATGGAGAAACGCTTTTGCTGAGAACAGCTACAGATGTTTAAAAAAATGTTAAATGTGATTCATTTGAAGTTATCAAATAAGGAAGTACTACCAAGCCAACACTCAGAAAAGAAGGTAATCTGAAAAATGAGACTAACATTTGGGGCTGCTTTTGCCCTGTAGGCATTTACCAATTCAGAGGAAGGAGCTAAAAGACTTGTATAGCCCTTTTGATATAGCCTCATATGGGTAGGAATACAAAATGAGACCCTTACAGTTTTGCAGCACTTTGCGTTGAGACCAAAGACTGCCCAACAGTAAGGTATGAGAGAGGTAAAGGAACCCTTGCATGGACTACAGCACAGCTTCAAGTCATCTGGGTGGCCCAGGAAATCTCAAACCGTGATATTAGATTAAGATCTCAGTTTGCTCATGCCCCTGGTTGTTTGCAGTAACAAAATTTCTTTCTGAAAGAAGTTTTTCAAATACTAATGTTCAAAACATATTCAGAGGTTGTCAGTTACACAAGGACACAAAACAACATGAATCAAGAAACAGTTGAAACAGTAGACGATAAAAACAGAACTGTAGGTACTCTAGGAATTAGTTATAGCAGACACTGCAGCCTGGGTGACAGAGCAAGATGGAGTCTTGCTCCATCTCAAAAAACAAAACAAAACAAAACAGCAGGAAGCCTGGAGAGATGCAAGGATGAGACATAGGGAAGGGCAAGAAATAATGTGGGTACAGAAAAGGTCTAATTACATATACATGTAAATGAGAATCCCAGAGAAAAGGAGGATGAGAATATTACAATATTTGAAGAGATGATGGCTAAGAATTTTCCAAAACACATGAAAGACAGCAACAATTTAAGAAATGCAACATAACCTAAATAGTCTAATTTTAAAATGTCATCCAATTGTAGGTGTATATCTAAGAGAAATGAAAACATATGTCCATGCAAATGTTTATAGCAGTATTATTTGTAATATCTAAGAAATGGAAGTAATTCAAACATCCATCACCTACAGAATGGATAAGTAAAATTTGGCATCCATTCAATGGAATATTATTCAGCTGTAAGAATGAATGAAACATGATTACAACATGGTTAAACCTTAAAAACAGTATGCTAAGTAAAAAGACCATCTCTTTTATGATTCCATTTATAGGAAATATCCAGAATAGGTATATCTGAAGCCACAGACTGAATAAGAGAAGAATGGATGGAAGATTTCTTTTGGGGGAGATGAAATGTTTTAAAATTAGATTGTAATGATGGTTACACAGCTGTGAGTACACTAAAGAACATTGAATTGTACAATTTAAATGCGTAAATTACATGGTATGTGGAATTATATCTCAGTTTAAAAGAGGGAAGAGAAACCCACACCTAGACATATCGTAGTAAAACTGCAAAAACCAAAGGAAAAAAAAAAATCTCAAAGTTGGTGGAGCTATGGTGCTGGAATTATCTTTAAAGAAGAGCTAAACAGACTATTAGATAATTTCTACAGTTGGTAAATTTTCAAACAATACAGCTGTGAAACTCACACCCAGATGAAAAAACAGAGCATCTCAACTCCCTAATAGTCCCCCTTGTACACCTAGCTAATACAAGGCACCCTATGCCCTATATTAGCTAGGTGCACAAGTAACAGTGGAATTGGGGGAGCAGGGGACAGGAACAATGGAATCAGAAGAAATTGTAATGATGATATTATCACTGTGCTGCCAGAAAATAACTGCCAATCCTGAATTTAACCAAACTGAGATATCATTGAAAAATGAAGCTAGACAACTTGGCCAGACGCAGTGGCTCATGCCTATAATCCCAGCACTTTGGGAGAGCAAGGCAGGCAGCTTGAGGTCAGGAATTCGAGACCAGCCTGGCCAACATGGTAAAACCCTGTCTCTACTAAAAATACAAAGATTAGCTGGGCGTCATGGCATATACCTGTAGTCCCAGATACTTGGGAGGCTGAGGCAGGAGAATCGCTTGAACCCAGGAGCAGAGGTTGCAGTGAACTGAGATTACACCACTACACTCCAGCCTGGGCAATAGAGCAAGACTCCATCTCAGAAACAAACAAAAAACAACCACAAGAAGAATGAAGCTGAAACAAAAATATTTTCAGAGAAGCAGAAAAGAAGAGAAAGAATTTGCCTAGAAAACTTGTGCCAAAGGAAGTACCAAAAGATACTCAGGCAAACAGCAAATGATCCCTGATGGAAGGCCAGAAATTCAGGAAGGAATAAAAGTGAACAAATGTGGCAAATATGTACAGACCAGTAGTTCTCTTAGGTATATGCCCAATGGCCATGGGTACACATATTTACTAAAACTGTTCAAGTGCCTGTCAGCAGTAGACTAAATTATATAGTGACATATACCTTACAGCTGTGCAAATGATCTGCAGTAATGGAGATGAATTTCACAAACAATATTGAGGAAAATTAGCCAGATACAAAGGACTACCTGATGTATGATTCTGTATATATTGAAGTATAATAGGAACAATGAATCTTTGCATCAGGATAGGTTGTTAGAGGCATAGGTGCCTTGCAGAGTCTAGGTGCGCAAGGGGGACTACTAGGGTGCTGAGATGTTCTGTTTCTTCGTCTGGGTGTGGGTTTCACAGTTGTATTCAGTTTGAAAATTCAGCATGATGTACAGTTACATTCACTTTTCTGCATGTACATTATATATTAAGCATTTTTAAAATAAAAAATAATTTCAATGAATAATGGTTGTGTAAAAGAATTTTGTGTTTATAGCTAGGAAGAAATTCGAGCAATTAAGATATCAATTAAGGTGAGGTATCAATTTATGAAATGTCAAAGTATTTGTGTTTTAGACTCTGAAAATGATTTTTGCCCCCTGAAACCACCTTAATAAGCAATTTTGAAATTACAAGGGAGCAATCCCAACCAAATAAATGTAAAATGAGTTTCAGTTACCTTGGAATATTCTAAGTATATCAGAAATTAATTACATTGTGTTTTTCAATAAAAAGTATTTTTAAAAATATTTTTAGACCTATAGACCTATTATCTGTTTTACTACTGCATAATGCTTGGTCTGCTTTTTAACACCACTCAATCTGGAAGTATCCCTTGAGAAGTATATGGCACTTAATGTGTATTGTTCCCTAGAGGAATCATGAAAAGAAAGAAAAGGTGCAGATTTTCTCTTGGGATACAATAGAAAATTAATTGAAAAAGGAAGAGCCCATAATTTAATGTATAGTTACGAATGGGGAAAAAAATCATAATATATAATTTTCACATTTGTTGATTATGTCTTAAATGCCAGTTATTAGACTAGCACAATTGATGCTCTGTATGTGGCAGCTCATATAGCTTGTGTTTGTATTTTCATCTACTTGGTTTATATATAATAATCTTAGCTGTAACATTCATTTTTATGCATTGTCTGCTTACTTTTTCTTTGCTTGCTTTAGACTCATCAGTTGGCTTTTGCATTCCATATTAAGATTTTGAAAGAAATACTTCAACCAAAAATGAACTGTATTTTTGTTATAGTGATTCTGCTGCATGGATTACAAGCACTCTATCTCCATGCTTGGATAAACTCCATCAAAAGCACATTATCCTCCTACTTCTGTGGCCAGCTGCCTAATTGTATCTGCTGTAACCACATGCTGTTGGAACATGATACCAATGAAGAACAGAAATGATAAATTACTCCCTGCAGGTGATAGTGATAATGATAATTTTTAATTTCCTTCTTCCTCATAAGGTCTAGTCTGATCTTATTTCATTGGTTGCCATCCTATTACATACACGTGATGTATCCGCTCTAAACAAATACTCGTCACGTCAAAATACATGAGAAAGTCATTTATTTTTATCCCAAATCATTGTTCTTCAAATGAGTGTATATTAAATGAACTGCATTTACCTTTATACATATAAACAAGCAAAACATGGCTTAAAACAGATTTTTTTCATGGTTCAGTTTACAAATGTCATGAGTTTTCTTCGTTTTTGTGAAATCCACAAAGAGATGAGCAACTCATTCTAAAACTATTCTATGCTGAGGAATATTTTAAATGTTCAATAAAGTTACATGCTTGTATTTTCTTATGTGCATCAAAGTAACTGTGGAGGATTCTCATAAAATTTCAAGAGTGATCAAACTATCCCAGAAATTCACTCTGTGCATGTATTTTCCTTTCATTCTGTTTTCTTCTATCGTTGTTTTTGTTTTATTATTAATTACCACTCATTGTCCCTTCTCTCACTCTAAGGAACTTTTATAACTGAAATTTTAGTTGTAAAATTTCTGTCTGTGGTATAATTCAGTGGAATTTTATTTAATTGTGATTTTGCCTTTGCAGATTAACCCAGCTCCTGCAGATACATTTTAATGCTTTTTTTCCCTCAGCAGTTCTCATTGCCCTGACAAGATATAGATGTGAGACAAAGAAGAAATTTCTTTGTCTGTAGTCAGCCTTCAAACCTCCCTGATCTTTTACAAGCACATGTCAAGTTGTAGCTCCAGTTATTTATTGCCATTGCCTATTAGTCACTATTTCCTATGGTTGTTTATTCTTTTATGTGAACGACTTCCACAGAGAGAATGTATATTCATTGAAATTAACGTTTAAAAAATGTAAAGATAGGTTGTCAAAGTGATGGTAGCAAGGTGGCCAAACTGTAATTGAAAATAGTGGCATGTTTATATTTTTCTGACAAAATGAATCATTTTATTCCTGAATCAGCTAATGTTTGGTTATATCATTATTCCTTATTTTTAAATAGCTTTGCAGCAATAAAAACTCTAATCATAATTCATTTGGTTTTATGTTACTATGTTTCAAAATTTTTTCCTTAATCTCTTTTAATTAAGAATTAGTGGCATGCATCTGTAGTCCCAACTACTCAGGAGGCTTAGGCAGAAAGATCCCTTAAGCCCGGGCACCATGGCAGGACTCCATCTCTTAAAATTAAATAAAGTTTTTTAAAAGAATCACTTACAGTGAAAAGGAAAAAAAACAAACACACACACCACAAACCCTGTCTCTGTAAAGGGCATTCTAAATCATGTTGGTGTTTGAGGGTAAATGCCCATTTTAAAACCAGAAACTCCCTTTTTTTCAGAGCAAAAATCTTCTCCTTTTTCAGCTGTATGACTGCTGTCTAACAAGTAGATAGATTATCTGCACACAGTTTTTAATTTCAGGTGAATTTTTTTCTAATTTCTCCTCATGCTTCTATGGAACTGATTTAATATTACTGTAAACCAAACCTCATTAGAAATGTAACTGTGCTTAAGTAGTCAAAGATACCATGATACATTTCACATAGATGCAATTTCAGATTTTTGTCATAGATCCTTTCCAGTGCTTATAATGAAGTTAACTATAGCTTTCATTTTTCTATGTCTTAAAACTTAAGATTTCTTTCACTGTATTATTTAAGGGCTGGAAATTTTAAAGTGAAATTCATATGCAGATTTGGAGATTGATTAATAAGCATTTGTGGATGTTGTGGCTCACACCTGTAATCCCAGCACTTTGGGAGGCCCCTCCAAAAAATGTGGGGAAAAGCAAATCCTAGTAAGCTAGTATAAGCTTTTGTGAAAATAAATTTGGGTTTAAAAGCAGCTTTTATAACATATTCAAATATATGAAGAGAAACATTTCTAATTCTCATTAAAAAAAAAAAAGACTGGCAATAAATTTAGTATAACAGTTATAAAACTATAATTACAGAAAGATGAGAGGCTGATACATGTTTTTACCAAATACACTAAATATTTTTAAAACTAAAAGATATTTTAGAACTATGGGTTTTCTGTTCTTTTTCCAGGTTACCTTTTGGTAGCATTTCCCATCAACCTAAAGAACATCTTTTAAAATGTCTTCAAAAAAAAGTTTATTGAAAATGAATTTTAGTTTTCCTTGACTTGAAAATGTCTTATATTTTGCTTTCATTCATAAACGATATTCTTACTAGATACAGAATTTTAAAACATGTTCTTCATCAGTAGCTTTTTCTTTTCTGTCTGGACCACCAATGACATGTTAGATCTGTAGGTCTCCAAGGTTCTATAACATGCATTTTATTGCAGTCTTTTTCCCTTCTTCAAAATGGATAATTTCTATTAATCTTTATATTCATCTATTTTTTTTCTGTCATCTCCATTCTGTTATTCAGCCCAGAAGTTTCAGTTCTTGCATTTTTCAATTAAAATTTTTTCATTTGGTTTTTTTTTATGGTTTCTGTTTCTCTGCTGAGAGTTTCTATCTTTTAATTCATTCCATTGTGTTTTCTGTTACCTTTTGGAGCATAGTTATAATTGCTGCTTTAAAGTTTTGCTTCATAGTACCAGTATCTGGATTATCTCAGAGGTGGCATCTGTTGTCTTTTCTCTTGAGAGTTGTTCAATTTTCTTGATTCTTTGTATGTTGAGTAATTTGAGATTGTGCTTCGGATGTCATACATGCTATGTTGTATGGACTGTGTCTCTTGTTAAAATCTTAAGAATGTTAATGTTTGGTGTTGCGGTCAGCCCAGGTAAATTAAGACCATAAGTTCTGTCTTAGTGTCCAAGTAGACAGTTGGCCATATCTCAGTCACATTAAGCCTTCGTTATGTGTTATGAGGCTTTCTTGCTCATTCCAGTTTACAGATTAGTCTGAGACTTTTACAGGTTTTTCAAATCTCAGGTTAGTTCTCTAGGCCTTTACTTGTTGGTTTTGGTTTTTTTCCATGCATGTTTTATTCAGAAGTTAATCCTGAGACTTGCACCAGTGATTCAAACTTTAGTTCAATTCTCTAAGCTTTTGATATGTGGGTTTGGGTCTCACCTGAAAATGCATAATTTGGGGGGTTAGGCTGAGACTTCTGCAATTCCTAAATACAGAATTTTTTAGGAATTTCCTAAAGTAGATATTTTCTAGCTCTCTCCTCTCTATATTTGTCCCACATATTCCGTGCTTTTCAGAGTTAAAAATTATTAGTTCCATTCAAGTTTTTAGTGCTTTAATAAACTATACTGACTATGTAATAAGGCTAGCCATATTTTAGACTGAAGATGGGTACATGCCTGTAATCCCAGCTACTCAGGAGGCTGAGGCAGGAGAATCACTTGAAAACCTGGGATGGGGAGGTTGCAGTGAACCGAGATCACATCACCGCACTTCAGCCTGGGCGACAGAGTGAAACTCTGTGTCAAAAAAAAAAAGAGATAATGAAGACTAAAAATTTTAATTTGGCTAATATTTATTGAGAACCTACTGTATGACATTGTATTGGGTAAGGGGCATAGAAGTGAATTACAAATATGCCCTCTTAAGTAAATTGCAGTATAAGGCAAACTACAGTATGCTATCATAACTAATATAATAGAATGCATAATAAACACATTTGCTCAGCCAATATTTTATTGTATCCTATGGGCCAAGTACTGCTCTGGGCACTAAGAGTATAGTGGTAAACAAGACAGGTATACAGGAATAAATTTAAGAAAACAATTGAATTAGTCTGTGAAGGGGCATCATAAGTGTTCAGAAATCAACTGAAAAAAGTTATGTTTAGAAATATTCTAATTAACCACATGGTTTGTATGATAATCTGTAGCTGAGTACTACATTGCTTTATAATTCTATGTGGCAGAATTAATAGTATTTTGATTCTGTCTTGGTATCTAAAATGTAATAAACCTCAATGTTAAATATTGGATTTGCTTTGGACCCAATCCATATTAACCCTACAAGATCAGTAAAATGTCACATTTTTAACAAAAGCAGCAGAGTACACAAATTAGCTTTATCGTGATTTTTGAAAAAATCAGTGTCCTGTTTTTTTTTTAACACTTTATAAGCTTAATGTAGTGCCAGTTTTAAAAAATGATTAAGTCCAGCTACTTCTATTAGTGAAAGAAAAAGGAATGATATTTAACTTTAACCAAAAATATCTGAATATGTTAATTTCTTTAGGAGATCTTTCTGTATTATCACAGTAACCCTTAGAGCTCACTTTGGAGTTTCTCCTTTGAAT